GCCCCGGCAGATGAACCTCAGGATTAAAGGGTGGGCTCAGTTCAGCGCACGCTGTGTCTCACCTAAAAAATCCACTGCGCAGGCTCAAAGGGTAAAGACCTTTTCCAAATCTTCGTTCGCGAAGACTGGTCATACAAAGTCAACTCAGTTACAGATTTTCTAAAATAAACCCACCTCTCCCTTCAAAATGATATCTCACTGAGTTAGTTCCACTAATTTCATATAGCTCAACAAGGTTTAACTTTAAGGGGAGAAGCCAGTGCTGCTTGGGCACCACAGGTAATTCATCACCGATACAGCTCTCCTAGATCACACACCATTTAAACACTTCCAGCTTTCCAGGATCCTCCCCTATCAAACTGATAGTGGGTTGGATAGTACTATATCTTGGTTATCCATTGGAAACTTTATTCTCATAGCAGAAGAATATTAAAAAAAAAATCAAACAAACAGATCGGAAGCAATTAATATATTCTTATGTCATTAATTGTTAATGAGAAAAAAATATAGATTAATATTGTAATTACAAAAAATAATCAGTTTACTAGTGTTTACTTGTGGCTTTTTTTTCTTACCCTAAAAAAACTGGCAAGCTCTTAGTCTTTTGTAGAAAATGGCTGCCATTGCTTTTTTAGCAGCACAGTAGAAAAGCTAAAAATTAAATATTAATTCATTGAAATTATTTTCAAGCAAGTTTGCTGGAGCTTTAAACCCAGTATTTTTTTTAAGAGCCTGCTGCAGTTAAAGAGCATAGAATTTAAACACAATAGTAACATTACCACAGAGCCTCTTCTCATTCCAAGCAGCTTTACAAAGTTACTATTTTTTTTTTAGATGCAAAAAGCTCGTAGAGGTAGTTACTTGGTAGAAATAGTTTACGAATTCAAACCTTTAGAAAGTGAAAATATTTTCTCCATTCAGATAAAGAAATTGTTTGCAGCAGTTCATTTAAAGCCAATACCTATCACACTCACATTAGAAGGATGCTCTTTAAGAGGAAATAAAATGATGTAACAATCCATTGACTAGCACATTAATCAGGACATGCTGATAGAGAATCATTAATCAAGCTTCTCTACTAATAGAAAATCACTAGAAAAAAGCACATCAGCAGCAATGCCTCTTCAGTTACTGGGCCTTTCTTTTAAACCAATACCTAACTTTGAGGCTAGTTTCTCTGTAGCTTTCAAAGCTTCTGTGACATAATTTATTCAAGACTCTTGACATAGTGCAGTCCTTCTGGATCACAATATCAGCTCGAAAATGAAGTACGCGAAGGCTCAGGGAAATGAAAGTAAAAGGGCAAAGGGGAGTTCTTACTTTATTTGAATATACTGAAGCAACATTAAAAAACTAGTTTAAATTCACCTAAATCAGAAGTTTTCAAGACAAATATTAACAGTTACTTCTTTGTTTCTATCTATTAGCTGCAGGCACCTCAGTTCAGGATATATCTCAGTAGGATTGTGATTACTTTCATAAATAATGTATGCTTCATTTTGATTCTTTCACTGTACCTGCTATGCCATTTATTCTGTCATCCAAACAAAGCCCATGATGTGTTCAAATAGCTCAACTAGCAGGTGGCGTGGTCAGATGGACCCAGGTTCACTGAATGCACCTGTGTGAACTCTGATGGAGCAACACTCTAAGAAAACTCAGCAGCTGTCTAGAGAACTCTGAATTTCCACAATAGGCAGAAAGCAATGGAAATAACAAAAATTGATTGGTTTAAAAATTTTAATGATTATTTACAGTTAAAATAGAGCACTTCAGTTGCACCACTATCTGTAAACTGTGAGGAGCCTTCAGCACAGAGAGGCTGAAACAAGAGTTCAGAAGCAGAAATATCCAAAATGCAAGCTTACACCGTTTAGTGTTAGTACAGGAGGTTTCAGTACATGGTTTTTGACAGCTTGTTTTGAATTGAGAAGCTGAGATACAGGGCTAGGCTTTCTCCATGTTTTCTTCTCAATGCCTTTTTTTCTTTTTTTCCTTTTTTTTTAAGTCAGGTAGTAGAAATCTAATCTTATCTCACAATTGCTGAGTTGTTTCTTCAAGTGGTTGTCTATATGAAGTAGAATGAAAATACAGAAGGCACTCAACTACCAGCTGATGTACAATTTTGCATTTCCAGTATTCCTTCCTTGTAGAGATTCTATTGCCTTTTCACATAAGTTCTTCTCAAATACCACCATGTCCATTTCATCATATTAGCATACCTTTCTGTAGTAGGTTTTTCTGGTCTAATGAGGTATAGGATTTGAGAATAAACTAGAAATATTATTATCATTATTATTTTACAGATTCTAAATGTATATTAGTGTTTTGAATATTGTTTCTTCTCTTGCAGGGTTTGAATTTGATGAGTAAACCTTACTTAGCCTCTAGATATCATTCTGCAATCTACTGTAGTAAAGGTAGAAAATCCTCTAGGTTTCACATTACGTGTGGTGTCATTCAGTTTACTTCCTGATGTCCACCTTAGCTTCCTCTGGTTAAAAAGAAGCAGTGGAGTAACTCACTGGACATTTGAGAGCCTACATGAGCCTTGAGTGGATACAATAATAAGGGCAGTGCATGAGGATGCCCTTTCACAAGCACATCCTCTTTGCTTGAATATTTTGACTGCAAAGAGGAACAATTCTAACAAATAAGACTGACAAAGCAGTGGTTTTTTTTTAATTTTCAGGCCAATGTAGAATGACATTTCTTAAACAATTTAAGATTTCATCACACTTTTTTTTTTTCAGCTTGGCCACAAAGGAATTGCTGTGGACTGCACTGGATTTTGTTCTCCTGGTGGCAAACACAGAGAATAAATGCAGTAAAATGTGGTGTAGTAGATCTCTGCAAAAGGAGACAAAATCCTGCAGTATTTACACATATGGGATAGACAGTTTTCTCTGTCTAAAGAAGTTAATTCTTCCACCAGACCTCTCACAAAGTCCTTATTTCAACATGAATCAATGCACATTCAGGATACAAAAAACAGGCTCAGAAATGTATGGCACTCGCTGATAAGGAAGAAGAGAAAAGAAAAGGTCAAGTCTTTGGAGCAAATCTGCTAATTTGGCAAAAAAAGAAAGCCTGGTTAGGGAACAATGCAGAACTCAATGAATACCCAGGGAAATGCCTTGCAGAATCAACAGGTGCTAGATAACGCATCAAACAACATCAGGTTTTTTTCCTCAATGATTTGCAGGTGGAAACAAGTGAGACGATGCTTTCTTTGCTATTTATCTGGCTCCCTAGTTTCAGAGTTGTGTGGTTAGTACCTGGGAGACATATAATTTGAAATGCAAAGCCAGCTGAAATTGGTAAAAGAGAAGCAGACAGAAGATGCCCTCCACAGGAGAGCTATATGACTGTCCATTTCAATCTGTAAATACCCATTTTCACCAAAAATAATAGTAACCAGTTTTGCTGGTAAACACCTCTATCCATTTATATGGAATATTTAAACACACCTTTCTATTATCTAAGTGCAAACACACCTCTAGAAACTTCATTGCTTCGATCTTTTTTTCATTACAGTACTTAAGCATATAACAAAAACTGCTTTGACTAATGCAACTATTCTATAAAATTCAGTATCATTCACAAACTGTACTGTAAGAGCCAAATCTAAATACTTATAAAGGAGAAGAGTGAAACCATGGGGATTTTAACCTCAAATACTTAACCTGATATTTGGAGAGGAAACTCTGCCCTCTTTGGAGAGGTCTGTTATTTCTGGTGTAGTAAAGAGTAGCCAGTGGAACATTTTAAGATCCAAATTTGGTCTGTCAATGCATTTAGCCAAATGAACAACTAGTGCTTTGGATTTCATTATTGTGTGTCTGGACACTGTAAATCAGAAGTGATAGTTCAGTTATAGTATGAGCAGCCTTGCTTTTAAAATTATTGTTTATACGATATTTAACATTGTTCACAGGCACTAAAATCAGATTAATTGTAGGCACAAAACAGAGATGCAGTGCAAAAATAAAACTGAAAAACTCTTTCCAAATACTTTCTCCAATTATTTTTTCTCTGTGTTTTGTATTATATTTGTAACATGGTTACAGTTGTTTTGTTCTTAAATACATTGTGGTATGTGCCTTACTAAAAAAGAACAATTGCTTGAAATCTAATTTGAACTAAGACACGCCACATGAAGGTGAAGATGCTTTGAAGCTGAAGGGAAAGATAACGTTTCAAACTGTGTATTGGGATCTTTGCACAGCTCAAAAATCTTCCAAAAGAGAGAAAAATTCTGTATGGTTATTTTTTGAACTTAAGTTTTTAAAACATTCTCAAACAGCTTACAAAAAAGAGTGGGGCTTATGTATTCAGTAAATTGACAACTCTAGGATAATCCACATGAAAACAATGGAAACAACATTTAATGCAGTCACTAAAAAACATTTACTTCCTTCTCTGAAGTACTTAATAGGTACGTACATAAACAAAACTCACCATGGACACGGAAGAGGAGAAGCATATATCATGTTTCAGACGACTGTAAATCATCCAACTGGTAGTCCATTATACCATAAGCTGAAGAAAGATTTTGCCATAACCATCAAGATCTTAAAAAAAAAAGAAAACACAAAAGATAATCAGACATTGAAGCATTGAAGTAGTGAGAATTGAGTGTTCCTTATTTAAAATACAGCTTTGCTGCTCTCTAAAGCACACTTTTAAAACAGTTACAAAAGAGCCTGTTGCACACCATCGCCATCCAGCAAGAGCTTCTCTTGCAACCACTGCAATGGTTTTTGCTCAGATACTTCATTTGCAGCTATTTTTCAGATTTTTTGATTTTCAGCTGACTTCAGGATTCAGATCTTTTATTCAACGTTGTTTAATGATGTCAGCTTTATGCATCGGCATTTTACTCAAAACAATATTGTTCAAATGTTATTTTGTTTTCCTTCTTGTTTCACTGATGCAGGACTTCACACACAAAATTCACATGCCAAAATTAACAACAGAGGTTAATGATGGGGAAGAGCACCACACGTGAGCAGGCAGTCTGTCTGGCCAGCAGCCTGGCACACACATCGGCAGGCAGCTGACAAAGCCAACACTTCTAACATGAGGTACGTGCTCTTGGGTTAAGAGCATGTGCAGAACAGGAAACATCCACCACCCCATCAACAGCAACTATTCCTATTAATTCCTTGTTTCTATTTCACTAAACAAGAAGGCCAGAGTGCTACAAAGCTTGTTTGAGGTTCTGTCCCAAAACTGCATTTTTAAATGCTGCATTTTTAAAAACTGCTGATGGGCAGAACAGCAAGAGAGCTGGGTTCAAGGCCAAGTGGCTATATGGCACTGAAAAACTTATTTGTTTTTTTGAAAACAATCTTGTTTTCTCCCAATTAATCCTTAGTAGGCCTTCTTGAAAGAATTTTTTTAACGGAACCATTCTTTCATGGTTCCTTCAAATTCCCAGGAAGTGCTACAACTGAAACTGAAATAGTGGCTCAAACTGAAAATTTGACAAATATAGGGTTGTTGGCTCTGGTGGTTTGAGTTTGTTTGGGGGTTTTTGTGTGTTGGTTATACTTTGTTGTTAGTGTCTGGTTGATTGGTTTTCTTTGCTTCCTCAAAGCAAAAAGGGATGGGAAACTTCCACCACGGTTGAAGCAGCTCAGGGGTAGGCACAGAGAGAAAATAAACTGCCTAACCTGCCCCTGTTATTACTGAAACACACGTCAAAATGCACCTGTTTTGAAAAAAATATTTTACTGATGAAGACAGTATTTATATGAATATGTTAGTATTTTAAACCAGTATTTCAAGTTTACAGCTTTGCTGTGTCTATGTATTATGCAGTACAAACTTTTAAAATTTAATGCTTCCTGAAGACAATAGTAAATTTAAACAAAATAGGAAAAATGTAGAAGAGAATCCATACAGTTACCTGGGGTCTTTTATGCGACATACTCTTTTTTTTTCTCAAAGTCCGCAAAAAACCCAGGACCTTTATCATAAGCTCTTCACAAAACTTAGTTAGATAAAGTGATCTATTTGTTACATCATTCATCATTTCCAGCTCTGCACCTATGACAGGGCACTAGCCCGGCCCTGCCAAGACAGTAAGGTGGGTAATCAGATAATTAGCTTTTCCCCTAAATTACTCCTTGCATATGTTTAGACCTCACTGAAGGACTTCCAGGTGATTAAAGGACTAAATAAAACCCCAACTGAAAACAAAACAAAAAATCCAAACAACAACAATAAAACTAGGAAAAAAACCTTTAAAGTTTGGTGCTTTTTTATCCTTAAGAAAATTGTGAGACAATTTTCCACTCTCATAGTTTTTTCCTTTAAAAAGTTTAAAATTAATGAGAGAACTCAAGGAGTCTTTTGTATGAGCACATGCTCCCCTTTCCTCTAAAACTATATTCTCCAAAATTTTCACAAATTTTGCATATTCTTCTTTGCAGTGTAAGAAGCTGTAGAATGTAGAAAGCCATCAATATGCACAATGAACAGGGCCTGGTAAGGAAACTGCTGAAGTCACATTACAATTTCTGAAGAACTACACTTTTGTTTAAATAACTACACTGTCTTAACTAGGAGGTAGATGCTGTCTAAAGTGAATGCATTCTTTTATATGTCAGTGGACCAGTTACACACACATGATCAATCACTGTGACTCAAATGCAAGAGAACTGATTTACTGCTGTGAATTGCAAAGTTATTAAAACATTTCAACAGAAGCCCCTGACCATCATTCCATTATAAAATTGTGGGCTTTGTCTTACAGGACTAGATTTCTGACCTGCATTTGAGAATGCTTTAGTGACCAATGTAAAAAGCTGGAAATGATGTTTACACATTCTGCTCAAATCTTTCAAGAAGATGTCTGCAGAGCCAAAACAATACAAGTTTTGGCCTTCCTGTGGTATTTTGACTGCCAACAAAATGAAAAGCCATAAAAAGACTTTGATGTTTTCAATTATTTAAGAACATGAAATAAAAAATAAACCTTCCAAGGACTAACATCATTATATCTTTTGAGGACGCACAAACCCAAATAAGGTACTATTCACCACAGAGAGGCTTTTGAAGGAAGCTACTAAATATTAACAGAAGTGACAAAACATCTGAAATACAAACAACTAAAAATCTGCTCATTGGAGCCAGTGTCTTGATCTGTTCCCAGGACTTAAGTGGCACATGTGGACAGTAAGAGTTTGTGACTTCTCTGCTGGACACAAAACATCTAGTTGAAATTAAAGCCCCACATATAACTACACAAAAAACAGCAGTCTCTGTGCATCAGCATTATATTGGGACCGCATGTCCCTGCAGCCAGTCCTCGTAAGGTCAGCAGCGCTCCAGCACAGGTACAGGGAGCGGCACTAGTACCACCTCCACCATGAAGGGCAGCCCACTCCAAGGGCAGAGGTTCTAAGGTCAGTAGAATACAAAGAGACTTAGGTGGTATCTGTGGATGAAATAAAAACTTTATCCTGGATTCACATCTCAAAAAAGTGGACACAGTTTTAGACTGCACATTTGTGTCACTACCATCTCCACAAAAACCCCTCTAAAAAAGGGTGATTTCTTGAGTGTCCTATGCAGCTATACAAGCACCCAGATGGAAAATGAATTAGCAATTGATGTCACTAATTAGAAAAGTTGATTTGAAGGAAGCGAACATTATTGACAGAAGTAGGTTGCAAGCTTTATTCTCTATTGAAATCTAAACTGTCATTTCAACGAAGGCAAAGGGACTTTTCTAATAAACAACCTGCACTGAAGACTAATTAGAAACCACGGGTATTTTGCGTGTATTTCACAATCAGTGAATGGCTACTTTCAAATAGATAACTGCAAATGGCTCGGCTTGTACAGGTGAAATTAAGGAGTCACTAGCATACCCTTTATTGTCATGTTATAGGAGCCTGCCCCAGTGCTGCTCACCTGAACAGGCAGACTGGCGTGCGGTCATTCCCAGAGAGACTGTCTCTGCTGCTCTGCATGCACCCCACTGGAACATGATGCATATCTTGCATTGGCTACATATTTAGATGTTGGATTCCTTAACTTTCATTCTTCGAAAGTATATCACAGAGAAGATTATTTTTTGCACCTGCACCTCTAATTGTAAGTATAATCCTTGACCCTCTTTTGTTTCTTTAAACAAATGGTTATTACCTGGTACAATGCAACAAAGAGAAAACAAAAACCCAACAGTGCTGGAAGCTACACACTGTGTGGAAAGCAGGACCAACACACTGTGTAAATGCATACAAGTGCTAAAGAGCTCTCATGATAAAACAAGTAAGGGACAGCTTGTTTTAGATCATAGACTATATTCAAATTGCTTGCTATTTATATAGTTTTCTTTATTTAAACTAAAACCTCTCATTAGGTTTGATCATGCAAAGATTTGCATAAACAACATGCTAAATGCCAGTTGATTAGTATAACACAACAAAAAATAATATAATAGTTGTTTACAAGAAAAACTACATGCATTTGGCCTCTTATAACGAACAAAACTGAATCATACAGAAAATGACCAAGTTTTTTGGCCTCTAGCAACTTATATTACTGTTGTTTTAATCAAAGTTTCTTTAATGTTATAAATATGCAACATTTAAAACTGTGGAGTAGCATATGACTGCTTGAAACTCTCAAGTTTGTTTTAACAGTGAGACCTTATAACCACAATGTCTAATGAGTCCTGATAAAGTGCTTCTTGGTCTTTAAACAAACTCTACTAGCCTAGCCACTGACCTATTTTCAAAGTTTAACCAATTCAGCTTGCACTTAAAACAAAAAGTCTAATACTCAGAGGGCAAAGAACATGACCTTCCATTAATAAGCTATTTTCCAAAAATGAAAAAAAAAGTAAAAAAAAAAAAAGTGGAATGAAGCTGCATTTGAAACACAGTTAATTAAAAATGTATCTAGCAGCATGCATTTAAAAAAATAATTAAAAAAAAAATCTGGTTATTGGCACTAGTATCCACCCACAGCACAAAGGGCAGCCTGCTCCGAGAGCAGAGGTTCTAAGGTCAGCTGAATGCAAAAAGACTTAGATCTTATCCAAAGATGAAGTAAAAATTTTATCCTGAATTCACTTCACTGTGTAGACAGTTTTAGACTGTATGTATGTCTCAGTGTCATTGCCACAAAAGCTTTCTAAAAAATGGCAATTTCCTGAGTGTCCTGTGCAGCTATACAAGTATCCAGATGCAACACTAATTAGCAATTTTTACAAAGAATTGGCAGATATTAACTTTCGAAACAAGAGATTTTCACTTGAAGGAAAGAAGGACTATTTACTTGTGATTTCTGAACAGTGAATTCTACCTGTAGTAGAGCAAGTAAAACTATGAAACATAATTTATATTTCTCTTGCATCTATCTTTGTTTTTTTCTCCATAGTCATCCCCCACCTAACTACATTCTCATTACAAAGTTTGCAATGAATTTAAGGTTATTTGCCTCAACACTTCAACACTGTGAGGTATAGTAAATTATTTATTATTTTATTGTAATTTATTTTAAAATAAAATTTCTAGTAACAAATTACTGCTGAACAGTGCCAATTTGGTTTAAA